TTTTTGAGACAGGGTCTGGCTATGTAGTTGTGACTAACCTGGAACTCACTATGTAGTCAGGCTGGTCATGAACTCACAGCGATCCTCCTGCCTCAGCCTCCTGAGTGCTGGGATTACAGGCATGCGCCACCATGCCCCGCTCTTAATTCTTTTTATATCTCCTTCCACTTTCCTCCTTGCCCTTCCTCTTCCCTCTACCTTTTGAGCCCCTTCCCTTTCATAAAACCTCTGTCTCTGTTTCCTATTATCTGTCTTTTATTTTGCTTTCATTTATTTATACTTTGGGCTTGTCCCATGGGAGAAACCATGAGACATTGAAGCCCATGTATCTGACTTATTTCACTTATCGTTGCAGTATTATACATTCCGTATTGCCAACCATCACTACCGTAAGTCCTCTCACAAGCTGTATGTTTCTTAGATTTGAGGCATAAATCTTGGGAAAACTAAAATTCCCCTTATCTTGTCACTATTGCAATTTGGTCGTATTGGATTAATGTGGCATAGAAAATATCCAGGTTTCTGTTCGGTTAGTGGCTAACACTGAATTCTAAGAGGATATGTACACATAGGATTTTAAAGTAAAAACACAATATTTATTACAAACATGAGATGCTGAAGGGACTGTTCTGAGCAGAGGGTGATTTTTCTGGCCCAGGCTTCTGCCTAGTTTTTGCATTTCTTTCATTTCTTTCCCGATTGGGCTCTTGAGCAGGGCTGGTGGCTCTGGCTGTAGCTGATTCTGGGAACTCGGTGTCTCCCAGCTATGAAGGTACCTTGTTGCTTCTCTTTCTGATTTTCACATAGAGCATGAGGATATTTCTGTATTTCAGATCTGTGAAATCACTGTCTTCCTTAGTATGGGGAGAAATGTTGTCTTTTGCAGTCCACCTCGGCAGTGATACGGCAGGTTGAGGTGTCTTTTTCTAGAACTCATATTGTTCCTCATTTCCCAGACGGGAGGGGTTACAGACAGGGGCAAGCTGGAGGTGGTCTAACATGTACTTGTGAGCAAAACAGTGTGTGCAGTTCACACTTAAGTGAGCCTCTCACCTAGTGCTGTCCCCTCCACTAACTTGTTGGAATTCTACATTTCTGGTGGTTGGTACGGAAATGCTGATCACCTCCACCACAGCAACCACAGAACTGGGATTCAGGATGACAAGAGCAGACTCTGGCTTCAAACACAGGTGGGAGGAAACCTCCACGGCTTCCCCCGAGCTCCTAAATTTGAAGTTCCAGTACAGAAGCGGCTTCAGTGTGATGGCACAGTTAAGCAAAAATTTCTTATTTTCCAGGTGGCCAAGGGAATGCTTTAGTAAAAACAGAACATCTGTTCAAATGAATGCCAGGCGTCTTCCTAGGCCTGGACTACAGGTGTGCTAAAAAGAAAATAAAACAAAATCCCAACATGAGTATCTGTTGGTCTTCCCGAGACTCTGAGCTACTCTTGCTTTGCTCCTCAGAGATTTTTACCCTCAGCAATTTACAAATGGATGCAGAGTTAGAGGACTCTGGTTCTCCATTAACCACCAGCCCTGACAGTCTTTGCCAAAAGGGACTCATTTGAGAACTGTCTTTTTAGGACTAACTGGATCTTAGAAGCAGTAAGTGAAAGAGCAGAGAGTCCTTTAGCCTGGGAAATTGGAGAGTTAAGGAACTGTGAGAGTTACATTCAGACACTTGAAGGATTGTCGCAGGAAAAAAGGTCAGGATCCCTCTGGGCAGCAGAAACAGTACAAGGGCATGTGGGAACAAATTCAGGCTGACATGAAGATCACTGTGCTCCCAGCCAGCACTGAGGCACAGGGAAGCTGTGAGTGTGACATTTGTATACCATGACATCGCGGGTCTAAGTGGCTATTCCAAGGCCAGCTAGAGAAGGGAGTCAAGTATCAGATAAAACTGACCCCTGTCAGGCTCCGTACCTGGGTATTTCAGTCGTATTCTGTGATGGAAACCATTTACTACAGCTGCCCACACAGAGCAGGAGGCCAAGGCTTGTGGGCGATCTCCAGGCTGGAGGTATGGTGTGGACATTCAGATGGGTGGCTTTGTGCCCTAGGAGGGAGCTCCTGATGGAGTTGAGAGGAGCAAAGAAGCACAGAGTCAGGAACTCCATGTGGACAGCTGGAGGAATGTTTCAGACGCATGCATTTTGTTAGGAAGAAGTTTTTGGAAAAATTTAGAGTAAAAAAAAACCCTGAGAAAGTATCTTAAATGTGGGTGCAGAGCTACCTGCCACAAATAATACTTCCCTGACTAGCGCTTGGAGGGAAAGAAGATGTAGTTTTGAGATCCAGATTCCCTGAGGGATCCCCTGTACACTTGGCCCCAGTATCCAGCAGTTCCATACAGACAGGCACCCTGACTACGCTCTCCTCCCTCTAGATGTGAGCGTCAGAGGACAGAAGGCCTCGCCGAAGTGTGTGTGTTCACCGAAGTGCCCCTTTCCACACTGCGGATGTGGCTGTGGGAAAGGGATTATCTATTCCGAACCTTACAGTACAGTCTTGTACTCTCACAAGATGGCCTGGACGATTCTAGTAATGTTGACTCAAAAGAATATCTTTACAAGATTCCAGGCATTTACTAACATTACAGGAGCCATTATTTCCTGCTTTATATACAGGGCTTTACCGTTTAAAGACACTTTCATATTCCTTCTTTTAGCCTCAAAACGACCTTAGGAGGCAAGCAGGGAAAGGACGATTATCCTCCTTTTTTTTTTTTTTTTTTTGGTACGAGGGATCAAACTCTGGTCCTTGTGTTTGTGAAGTAGGCGGGGGAACCACTGAGCTAAATCCCAGGCCCTATCCTCCTGTTGTAATGGTGCCAGGCTGTGGTCTCAGCACTTTGCCAATGACGCATAGCTAGTGGGCAGAGTAGATGGCTCAGATGCAGGTCCATCAGCAAGATCCCCTGCTGTGTCATTCTTCAGTGCTGTTTTCTCCTAAAGGAAAAGTTTGTAGCACTGAGAAACAAGCCCGCAGCAAGGAGGCTATCTACTGCAATTGCCACTGTGAGTACGATTTCCCCGAGAAAGAATTTTTAGTTTTGCATAGAAGTTCCTCTGAACCTGACCATCAATCACAGGAAAGGTCAACTCCCACAGCTGAGGGAGTAAAAACCATAACACTGAAGTCCTGGGTGTCTATATCATGTGATCAGATAAAGCTCTGGTTGCTGACTGCAGCATCCAGAAGTAGAAATCTGTATTTCTGCATGAAATTTGTCTTGCCCCTGCTCTGTACAGCTTTCTAGAATCATACAGATTCTCTACTGGTTTTCAACTATATTCCCCCATACGCATAGAGAAATTGAAAGCTCCTGTCTCATACAAAAGGCAGTCTGCCTTTTGGTTTCCATGAGACTCGTTAAAATGACCATGTAAACTTTATCAATAAAATTATTTTCTTCCAAATTGGACAAACATACAAATAAGAACAACAGGACACAGCTGGGCTGGCATTGCTGGGAGTGAGTCCCCCAGCTTCCCAAATACCCAGAGGGTGTGGCTTCCCCAGGAAGATTGCCTTGGCTCCCCTCTCTACCCCACCAACCCTGTGCTCATGTCAGATTTTGGCTCACTTGTTGCCTCTTCCAAGGAGTCTTCCCCTGCCCCAAGTTATCTCACGTTGCCCTTCCCCACTAGCTGGGGGTGTTTCTTTGGTCTCACTGCGCAGCTCTTCAGGCAATTGAGACAGGAAAGGAACTACTTGTGTCAGATCACATCCTTAAGGGCTGGGGATTTAGCTCAGTGGTTCTGCCACCTGCATCACAAGTGCAAGGTCCCGAGTTCGATCCCTGGTACAAAAAAAGAAAAAAAATCACATCCCTAGGAAATTGGCAAGCTGAGTTTAAAACCTGGGACTTCTGACTTCTAAGTCAAGGTTCTTTGTAGTCTTTATCCCTGGGCAGATTCTGCTGAACAAATTGGTGAACCCACTGAGAAGAATGCCGAGCATTATAGAGCCTTATGCATGGTTAGAT